TACAATTCCAAACCCACTATTAATTGACCCATAGTACACACCATACCCAGAGGTATTTAAAAGACATGGTTTAGTGGGTGCCTTGGCAGTCCTGGGGAACAGCTGGACTCGAAGGTCTTTTCCAACTTCAATGATTCTACATTTCATCTTCACTGTGAAACTTTTGCTCTAAACAGACAACCCCGAGAGAATTAGTTCACCAGTATTTAAAGGCTTATTCCAAACAAAACGTACCTAATTCCCAAGGGTTTAGCTGTAAGGAAAGCTCAGGATGTAGCCTAAACCATGATTTACAAGGCACAAGATCTGTGTTCTTATTCCATCTGAACAATTCACTTCTGTACTTAAGTTTGTCAGGAATGGTAAATGGGACTGATTGTCACATAAAAGGAAAACTATTTGACTGGATTTTTTTCCCAGTCATTTTGTGTTTTGTAGGACAAACTGCTTATAGTAAAATGAAGTATTTCGAATTTATTTCCTGATGACACTTAAGAAATTCAACAACACTAAGGATCAGGTAAGGAGAAATCAACAGAGAACAGAGATTCCTGCTCTCCTCCCTCCTTTATGCCTTCAGATTACAGGATGTTGAAGGAGTTCCGAGGTCTTACCAGAGTCACATTCCTGTTTGGTCCGATTCAAATCGGCGCCATCGTCCACGAACTGGCAAATGGAGAACAGTCTGCAGCCCCTCTGGCAGGCGTACAGCTCCTCTTCCTGGGGAGGCACAACAACAGGCTTGCATCCCTCCAGTCCAGAACAAATTGCCAGAAAACATTTTTTTGTTGTTTGGTTGGGGTTTTTTTTGTCCTCCTCCTCTCCACCAGACCTACGACCCAGCTAAACATGACCCGAAGTAAACCCAAGCCACAGCTCTGTAACACTGACATCCCTATGGATTTAATTCAAACAGAGCTCTCCATTCTGTGGTGGGCAAACCTGGAATAGCAAACTGTGTTTTGTAATTCCAATCCTACAATCCACAAAGCGAACTTTTTACCAGATGCTCATGTTTAACCCTACAAAGAGCAGAAAATCTCTGGTATCACTTAAACAGTAGAACCCAGAAGGAAAGGACAAAAAAATCCCTGATTTTGACAGTGATTACAATGTATCTACCAGACTCTAGTCAGAATCACCACAGAACTGTCAAAATAAGAGATTATCTTCTGAAGTACTACACCAGTACCCTGGTTAATTGTTTGCTGACAAACCAGCTCCAGAAACATGAATTTTTTTTATAATGAACTGAAGGGAAAAAGTGCTTTCTCACTGCAACCATTAAAATTAAGCAAATATAGAAATCCTACACCTGGTATTTCTTCTGTCCACAAAGGCAAGGGCACGGATGTGCACAGACTGGGTTCTCCACCTTGCAGAACTAAAGCCTCTGTCAGGTGAGTGTCCTACCTCTGACCACACCCTGCCACTGACCCATGAACCAGACCAACGAAACCATCACCCACTCAAATGACTGCACAGGTGGCAAACAAGACTCTGAATTAATTTAACAACCACCAAACACACCACACCTCATGTACAACCTGCTGTAAATGACCTGGCCACTGCTGAGAGCACCGGTCTGCACACTTTAAAAGGCACAAGAGCAGAAAACTGCGAATATAAATTAAAACTCAACTCTAACACTGACAAGGTGGGTGATGCTGTTGCAGAAAATGTGTTCTGTAATTTAATATCCATAGAAATCAGCTCCAGCAGACAGGTTTCTATGGCAGTCTTGATGAAGTTTGTCTTACTTTCCAGTGACAACTAAAATGATTTCCTTCAATTCCACCAGTAGTTTTGTGACAAACAGAACAAACACTAAATGTAAAGAAAGGGGTGAGTGTATTAGTCCACAGCTCCAACAACACGCACCAAAATTCAAATTCAAAAAGTAACAAAATTCAAAAGTACAATAAAACCCAAAGAAATATCAGCCTTCCTTGAACTTGACAGAGTCCTGCAAGGGAAGTAAACCAATGCACCAAAACAATGGAAATATATTAGGGTAATGTTTAGCCTTAATTTCTCGGGTTTAGTTCTTCCTCTTCACGTAGGTACCAAAACATGCCATAAGTACACATGTAAATTTACTAATATTCCAAACAACTCCCTGTTACCTGTTTCCGTGGGGATACCAATATCAGCTGCAAAATCCAACTGAATTCCACAGGAAAGCAGGCAAAGCCCTGTTACCCAACCCTGGCACTGCTCTACTTCCCTGCTATCCTCCTGTGAAATCCCAAACATGGGGTAAGAGTTCCACTTGCTACACAGCCACAGCTGATAATGAAGTTTATTGCTAATAGAGAAACAGGAAGGATTAGATTTTGGGTCCTGGATTTTCCAAATTCAGGCCTGCAGTTCAAAGCTGTGCAAAGCCTGAACCAACAGCAAACCCTGCGGTACGAAATTAAATTCCCATCGGACACTATTCCAGTATTTTCTCATGAGATAAAAAAAATTCCATGAAGGCTCTGATGAGCCACTTGTTTGTGTCACCTTTTATGCTTCATCCTTCACCACCCAAGTGCCCCACTGGCGCCCTGACTCAGGATCTCTGCCCTGCCACCAACACAGCTCTGTTTTAGTGCCCAAAATATGCAGCAGCCCAAGCCAAATTACAGCTGCCTCTTTAGGAACAGGAGGAAACAGCAACCACACCTCCCCCCCCCAAACCCACAAAAGCACCCGGGACTGACAAAACCGTGCTTTGAAAACAGCGCTTCACTGGCAAGCTGCAGCCTAACCATCTATTTCTATAGGGAAGGATCTCTTTTTAGGGACGAGACGGAGTTGCAGGGGGAGAGAGAAAAAAGAAGGGCCGCGCAGGGTCCGGGGGAGACGGTGGGGCCGGGAAGGGCCCGCCCGTACCTTGGGGTAGGTGTGCAGGGGGTAGGTCAGCTGGCAGGCGCGGTGACACGACGCCGTGTTGCCCAGCACGGAGTCGAAGGCCTCGGAGGACGAGGCGGCGGGGAGCGGCCCCGCGGCGACGGCTCCCGTCGGGAGCGCCAGGAACAGCGGCAGGAACAGCGGCAGGAACAGCGGCAGCACCGGGAGCAGGACGGAGAGGCCGCCCCGCAGCGCCGCCATCTTCGCCCCTCCGCCCCGGCACCGGCCGTCCACCGCCCCTCGCGAGATGTGACCCTCGCCCCGCGCGGGGTGTTCTGGGAGGTGTAGTCCGCGCGCGGGGCACCCCCGGCCATCCCATAGGGCATCACCGCAGGGGGGAACTACCGGACGAAAATGGCGGAATGGCCGTACTACCCACCGCGCGAGGTTTGCTGGGAGGTGTAGTCCTTGTTGCGGGACAACCTCGGCCATCCTATAGGGTCTCGCACCCGGCGGAACTACCGTGCGGAAATGGCGGGAGGGCGGCGGGTTCCGTGGGGGAGGGCGGCCAGGGCAGCATGGAGCGGTTCCTGGTGCGCAGTGCCCGCGGCCCGCGCAGCCCCCGCCCGGCCGCGGCCGAGCCCCGCAGCTGCCGGCAGGTCACCCTCGAGTCCCTCAAGGCAGGTCACCGGCGGGGGGAGCGGTCACTGGGCAGCGCGGGGTGGCGGTGGGAGGAGCGCTGTGTGGACGCCTGCGGTGCCAGCTCTGCACCGAAGTCTTGGCAGCCGTGAGATGGGATCCTCACAGGGAATAGGGAAGTGGAGCTATACAGGTGCAGAGGGCTCTGCTGCTGAGTAAGATGCATCACATCCAAAATATGAGACTCGCACTCTTTGCAGTCTGTTCTGTCAAGGTCCACGGTAAAAACAGCGAAAAAGACTGTGGATGTACAGCGTACTTGGGTCTGCATTCGTGTTCCTTAATGCTTTGTTTCTCACCTTGCTGTCTTTATTTTAAATATGAAGCAAATCTGAGCAGGATTCAGATTCTGCCAGCCTACTAAAGATAATTACCTGCCTCCCTCTTAATCCATTTTCCTATTTAGAGACATTTATACAATGGATTCCTTAAATTCAAAACACTTCTTTTCTAGCAGACGTTTGCTGTTACATGGCCAGAGTTTGGCAGATCAAGGTGAAGCCTCTTACTTTGCTTTCTGGTTACTTCAGTCTTGATTTGCAGAAGGTTTCTAATCCCAAGCAAGTATCCATGCTCCCAGGCCATCGTGTATTCTATGCTCTGGTCCATGCCATGATCAATAATTCATGTGTTGATAACAGCCCCATTAGCTGAGATCACTGTCCTTATTTATCGTAAGAATATCCCGCTTTCCTAATGGCTTTTCTCTTTCCCAGAGAGTTGTGGTTGTGGAAGACATAAAACGATGGAAGTCTATACTTGAGCTTCCCGGGCAACCAAAAGAGAACCTGATGGAGGCTTTGGAGGAGCTGAAGAAGAAAATACCATCCAAGGAAGTGTTACTTTCCACTAAAATAGGTATATCTTGTCTATCTAGACTGAATATTAGGTTGTCTTATGTCTGCTTGGTTTGTCAGTACAAAAGAGACTAGTTTGGAAGCTTTTAAAGAAATTAGTGTCACTGCCAATGAAATATTGATATCCAGCCTGCAGTTTTCAGAGATGGTACTGAAAAAGTCCAGCTGGTACTGAAAAAGCTGTCCTCTAATTCCTCCCAGGCAATACTGCATCACCCCTTTTTGTGGTCAGATTTTTGAAGAGCACTTCTTGGTCCCTGTGTTTTATTCCTTCTCCTGCTGTTTGTCAGAGTGCTCTCTTGCCATCCAAGGCGTGGTTCATTTATATAATTTGGCTGAATCTACTGGACGTGTGAGAAATTCTCCTCAGATCACCCAGAACTGCTTCTTGCATCCCTGCCCTAAGGAATCCCCAGCAGATGGGCAGCTCCTGTTAGAGCCATTAGAGCAGCCGCATCTCTAATCACAGAGCCCTTGAAAAGGAGAAGCGATCCGCCCTTTTCTCCGTCTTCTGAGCTGTGGTTTCATTTGCCACGTTCAGGCTTTATTCAGGCTTTTCTCGAGGTTTTTCCCAGTGCCTGCCTGCAGTCGGCTGGGCTGGAAGAGCCATCGAAGCCTAACAGTGACATCTCCTGGCCAAGAGCGCTTCTGGTCAGAGAAAAACACCCCTCTGAGAGCAGGAAGCTCTCTTTTGTCTCCTCGCAGAGAAAAGCCTCTTCTGCACTGGCCCTGTCGATGGGAAGGATTCTGCTTGGAGTCACCGTGGTGTTAAAATGCTACAGCCATCATCAGCAACATCTGCTTCCTTAATGGGGTTTCCAGGTGAAAACCAGGATTTTTTGTAGGCCAAGCTCACAAGCTTTCACCAGATCCAGGATCTGTGTAAAAAAATCAGCATAGCCTTGTGTTCCATAAGTGTCACTCCACACCTTGTTGACTTGGGAAGGGAATTTTCACAATTCCTTGCTAATTGCTCAGGCAAAAATCACAGCAGAAGCCAAAGAACGAGAACTCCATGCTTAATGGCTAATAAATTTATATCTGTGTTTGTGTCAGTGCTCTGGTTGTTTTGCTGACACTGCCTCAGTTAAAAATGTGTGGCTGCTTTAGCCCTGATATGATTCGGCCAGTGTCCATTGTATTTTGCCCACCTGCCAATCCCAAGGGAGCTGTTCCTGTTTTCCAGGTCACACAGTGAACAAGATGCGCAAACACTCCGATCCTGACGTGTCTGGCCTTGCCAAGGATATTTACACAGAGTGGAGAACCTTCATCAGGGACCACTCCAACAGGCCCTCAATCGAGGTCAGGAGCGATCCCAAGTCCGAGGCTTTCAGGAAGAACGCACGGAAACTGCTCTGTGAAGCCCTGGATTTGGAGGTAACGTTCAGAGCCATTTGCCTTTAGCTCAAGGAATTACTTCTTGTAGGAACAAGTTAAACCTTTCCCAGCCACAGCTACTGCCAAGCTGGTCCTGCCTGCAGAGCGGGGACAAGACCAGGTGACCTGTTCCTACTTATAGTGATTCACAGCACATCCCTATTTATGAGCAGCTTTGTTTTCAAGGCAGATAATTTTATTTTGGTTGTTAACCAAGTCAATGTGCTAATTGTAAGCAAGGTGTATTTGCTCTCATTTACATAACCAGTCAACAGATCAGTTGTGCATCTACTGCAGTTGGGCTATACAAGAGAAGGAAGTTAATAGAACATGAAGTTTTCCCTACTACTCAACAGCTGTGAAAGCAACAGTGGGACCTTTTGGGTGTTTTCTAATTAAACATTTGTAAATTTAAATCTATTGCAAAAACAGAGACAAGGTTGAAAGTATATAAAGTGGTGATAAATACCAGATCCCTCAGGTATCTTTAAGTAAATGAACAGAGCTTTGCTGTAAGGCTTAATGACTAGTTTGCTTGGTCTATGAAATGCCATAATAATTATCCTTTTTAACTTATCCATTAATTATCCTTTAAATGGCAAGTCAAGTGATAAGCACTCAAGAGTTTCAAAGCTGTGTGTTTTCTAGCTGTGAGAACAACCTCTCCAACTTCCAGTGCATCTGGATTGGGGCAGCACAGAAGGATGGTTTGCTGTAGGAATGCCTCAGAAGGGTGGGAGCTCACTTTTGCTGGGTCAAACCTAGTACTCAGAAATCACATCTATGCATGGTGATAAGACTGGAAGTAAAGTCTAAATCTGTGGAACATCAAGACTATGGTACCACTCTAAAATGAGTAGAATTGGGTAAAGCAGAGCTGCCTCTGGATAGGACTCACCTGAAAGCACAGCAAGGAAGAATAACCTGTGGGTACCACCACATGTGCAAGCAGAGCTCACAGCAGGACTTAAACTGCTCATAAAGGCAGAGGAACCAAAGAGGTCCAGCAAATGGGGAGCAGGGACACCTGAGAGGCTGACAAAAAGGAGAAGGGAAGGTGGGGCTGAGTGAATCCGAGGGACTTTTAAGTGATGGGTAGCAAAACCGGCATGGGCAAAGGACTCAGAGGAATACCACCTGGCTAACTGGAATCTCCTGCATGCAAAGCATGGGAGATTCCCCCTCACAAAAGGGAAATTAAACTAAAAGCATTTCTTTATGGGTGGGGGATTTTTTTTTCCTAAACTGTGCTAAATTACAGGTTTTGGCACATGTTGAAGCAATAACTACATAATTAACATTTAGCAAATCCCTTTCTGTGTTCTTAATTACACCTCCTTCTACACACAGAGGGCCCACATTTCCCTTTATAGCACAAGGCAGAGTTGCCAAGTGTTTGGCACATCTTAGAGTTGCTGTTGGAATTAAGTTTAAAATAGTATCCAAGGTACTTTCTATCAGCTAGACCAAAAGTGAGCTTTATGGAGACACTACAGCGTAGTCTATAATTGCAGTTGAGCTTGATACCCAAAGCTTGTCACGGATTAGTTTCCTGTTGTGATGGCAAAGTACTGCCACCCAGCTGGAGATGGGGACATGTTCCTTGCTACTGACCATGTCGCCTTGTTCCTTAATTGCTGGGGTGGAATTAAATTGCTCTTCCTGTTACACTTGTGATGGGAAGTAGATTTCCTTGAATCTAAGCTGATTAATGAAGAAACACTGAAAAGCACCAAAGTCCAATTTCAATCAGTTGGTCTCCTTATTAAATGTAAAGATCTAATTTTATACTTTGCTGTTTTCAGATTGATCACCCACTGGCTGAAAATATTGAGCGAGAAGCTTTTCATCTCTCTTCCCGCCTCATTAACGCGCCGTATCGCAGGACAGTGCGAGCTCTTGTCTTCTCATTAAAGCACAAACCTGAGATCCGAGCTGAAGTCAAGGCTGGCACACTCACTGTCCCTGCCTTTGTACAGAGCCATAAAAAGTGATCCCGAGTCAGAACTTCCTGTGCCTACAGCTCCGTAGAACAGGGAGCCCCTTCTGTGGTGAGAGGAGCGCAGGAGTGCTGACAGTGTGACTTGACTCTCCAGCACCACTCCATGAACAGGGCTGCTGGAGGGGAAAACTAATGGTGGAAGTGGTGCTGAAAATCTGACTTGCTAGAAATCCATGTGGGTTTGTTGCAGGAAAAGTTTCTTCTGCTCTGCTGTATATTTTCCATCCTTGCTGATTCACTTGGTTCTTCTTTCTGCCCCTTTGTCATGGCTCAGTTTAGCTGCATCCCTGATGTGGATCTTCAGGTGGAATCAGCTGAATAACATCAAGGAGCAACTCTGTGCTGTGCTGTTAGGAAAT